GACGGCCCGCTCGCCATGACTCAAACCCCTTGATGCCGGCGAGGTGCCCCTTGATCTAATAAAACTGGATGTTTCCTGCTCTTTCTTGGATAGAACCCGATTGCCCTTTTATTTTTCCCCGGGGCTTTTATGGGCTCTTGTGAGTTTTAAAACTTTTCCTAATTAAAATAATTCGTTTGATATCTCGTACCTATTGTGTCCTTTTACAAAATTGTGGGGAGGGTAGATCCCTCGTTTAAATTTAAAAACGAGATGGACAAAATGGCTTTAGGATTTCCTCTCAGCATATCTTTGTACCAAAAAGGGTCCAGGTTTTTTGTCAAGAGAGCTTGTTTCATTTCCCCCCTCAAAATACCTTCTTCCCCTACCCTTCAGTAAAATACCCTCAAATACCTTTCCCCTTTTCCCCCATCCACTTCCCTCAGGGAAGGGTCACTCCCCCTGCACCCACATGGCCCCCGACTTGCCATCACTGGCGTTCTAGCCACTCCCCAATCTGTACACTCTCAAATGGTCCACACACCTGTACACTCTCTAATGGTCCACACACCTGTACACTCTCTAATGGTCCACACACCTGTACACTCTCTAATGGTCCACACACCTGTACACTCTCTAATGGTCCAGGCCTCACCAGAAACACTCACCTTTTTCGAGAGGTTAAACCGGATGAAAATGTCGTTTCTTGAGGGTTTTTCCACATGTCTGCCTGCAGTCCAAACACCTTCACATCTTGACCCATTCTGGATAGCCCTGTGCTCTCCGCTGTCGACGAGGTCATTCACAGGTCACAAAGGATATTATTATTATTATTATTATTATTATTATTATTATTATTATTAAATTTATTTATTATTATTAATTATTATTATTATTATTATTATTATTATTATTTATTATTAGATATTATATATAGATTCAGAGAATTAAGTGAAACATGGCATGTTTTTCCCCTAGACTTTACAATTATACCGTCTCGGTGCTTTAGTATATATTATTAGGGGGATTAGGGAACAGGTTGATTAGGATACTTTGGTTGGATTATGTTGGGAAACAACCAAACCCAAACTTAATCTAAAAATACCATACACACAATTTTTCATCATAAAAAATCAGCATCGTAAAAAATCACCTCTTATTGCAGTTATTAAACAATGAATTATTAACCAACCTCGGTGCTACCCAAAATAAATACATTATTATTATTGTTAATTATTATTTATTATTATTATTATTATTATTATTATCAATATTATTATTAATTATTATTAGTATATTATAATTATTATTATTATTATTATTATTATTATTAAATTATTAATAATATTATTATTATATTAATATTATTATATATTATTATTATTATTATTATTATTAGTATATTATTATTATAAATAATAATGATTATTTATTCAGGAAAGCAAAAAACACGATGAAGACGAAAACCTTGGTCATCCCGACCACACTGTTGGGTCGGTTATAACACAGACCTGGTCATCAAGACCACACTGGTGGGTCGGTTATAACACAGACCTGGTCATCAAGACCACACTGGTGGGTCGGTCTAAAACACAGACCTAGGATCATCAAGACCACACAAGGTGGTCGTTATAACACAGACCAGGTCAACAAGACCACACTGGTGGGTCGGTTATAACACAAGAACCTGGTCATCAAGCCACACTGAGTGGTCTGTTATAACACAGACTGGTCATCAAGACCACACTGGTGGTCGGTTATAACACAGACCTGGTCAACAATACCACACTGTGGGTCGTTATAACACAGACCGGTCAATCAATACCACACTGGTGGGTCCGTTAAAACACAGACTCTGACATCAAGACCACACAGGTGGGTCGGTTATAACACACAGACTCTGGTCATCAATACCCACCCATGGAGGGGTCGGTTATAACACAGACCTGGTCCATCAATACCACACTGTGGGTCGGTTATAACACAGACCTGGTCTCAAGACCACACTGGTGGTCGGCTATAACACAGAACTGGACATCAAGAACCACACTGGTGGTCGGCTATAACACAGACCTGGTCATCAAGACCACACTGGTGGGTCGGCTATAACCCAGACCTGTCATCAAGACCACACTGGAGGGTCGGCTATAACACAGACCTAGGTCATCAGAGCCACACTGGTGGGTCGGCTCATAACACAGGCCTGGTCACAAGACCACACTGTGGGTCGGCTATAACACAGACCAGGTCATCAGACCACCAGTGGGTCGGCTATATAAACACAGACCTGGTCATGCAAGACCACACTGTTGGGTCGCCTATTAACACAGGACCTGGTCATCAAGACCACACTGATGGGTCAGCTATAGACACAGACCTGGTCATCAAGACCACAACTAGAAGGGTCCAGCTATAACAAACAGACCTGGTCATCAAAGACCCGACACTGGTGGTCGGCTAAAACACAGACTGGTCATCAAGACCACACTGAGAGGTCAGCTATAACACAGACCTGGTCATCAAGACCAAACACTGTTTGGGGTCAGCTATAACACAGACCTGGTCATCAAGACCACACTGGAGGGTTCAGCAAAAACACAACTGGTCATCAAGACCACACGATGGCCAGCTATAACACAGACCCCTGACATCAAGACACACAGGTGGGATCAGCTATAACACAGACCTCGTCAACAAAGACCACACAGGTGGTTCGGTGTATAACACAAACCTTGGTCATCAAGACCACACTGTGGGTCGGCTATAACACAGACCTGGTCATCAAGACCACAAACTGGTGGTTCGGCTATAACACAGACTGGTCAACAGAGACCACACTGGTGGGCGGCCTAATAAACACATAACCTGGATCATCAAGACCACACTGGGTGTCTGCTATTAACACAGACCTGGTCATCAAGACCACACTGGTGGGTCGGTCTATAACAAAGAAACCTGGTCATCAAGACCAATACTGGTGGTCCGGCTATAACACAGAACCTGGTCATTCAAGACCACACTGTGGGTCGTGCCTATAACACAGACCTGGTCATCAAGACCACACTGTGGTGGGTCGCTATAACACAGACCTGGTCATCAAGACACAACTGATGGGTCAGCTATAACACAGACCCTGGTCATCAACCACACTGATGGTCACTATAACACAGACCTGGTCATCAAGACCACACTGGTGGGTCTGGCAATAAACACAGACCAGGTCATCAAGACCACACTGATGGGTCAGCTATAACACAGACCTGGTCAGTCAAGACCACACTGAATGGGTCAGCTATAAAACATGACTGGTCATCAAGACCACACTAGGTGGGTCAGCTATAACACAGACCTGGTCATCAAGACCACACTATGGGTCAGCTATATCCCAGACCTGGTCATCAAGACCAACTGTTGGGGTCTCAGCTATAACACAGACCCTGGTCATCCAAGACTCACACTGATGGGTCAGCTATAACACAGACATCAGGTCATCAAGAGCCACACTGATCGGGTCATCTATAACACAGACCTGGTCATCAAGACCACACTGAGGGGTCAGCTATAACACAGACCTGGTCATCAAGACCACACTGATGGGTCAGCTATAACACAGACCTGGTCATCAAGACCACACAGATGGGCAGCTATAAACACAGACCTGTCATCAAGACCACACTGAGGGTCTGCTAGAACACAGGACCCTGGTCATAAAGACCACACTGATGGGTCGGCTATAACACAGACCTGGTCATCAAGACCACACTGGTGGGTCAGCTATAACACAGACCTGGTCATCAAGACCACACTGGTGGGCGGCTATAAACACAGACCTGGTCATAAAGACACACTGATGGGTCCAGCAGCTATAAAAACACAGACCTGGTCATCAAGGACCACACTGGTGGGTCGGCTATAACACAGACCCTGGTCATCACGCCCACACTGGGGGTCAGCTATAACACAGACCTGGTCATCAAGACCACACTGATGGGTCAGCTATAACACAGACCTGGTCATCAAGACCACACTGGTGGGTCAGCTATAACACAGACCTGGTCATCAAGACCACACTGGTGGGTCGGCTATAACACAGACCTGGTCATCAAGAACACACACTGGTTGAGTGACTATAAACACAGACCAGGTCATCAGACCACACTGAAGGGATCAGCTATAACACAGACCCTGGTCTATCAAGACCACACTGGTGGGTCGGTTATAACACGAGACCTGGTCATCAAGACCACAACTTGGAGTGGTTCAGCTAATTAACACAGACCTGGTCATCAAGACCACACGATGGGTCACAATAACACAGCACCTGGTCATCAAGACCCCTACTGTGGGGTCAGCTAAACACAGGACCTGGTCCATGCAAGACACACTGATGGGTCGTCTATAACACAGACCTGGTCATCAAGACCACACTGGTGTGTCAGCTTATAAACACAGACCTTGACATCCAAGACCACACTGATGGTCAGCTAAAACACAGACCTGGTTAATCAAGACCACACTGGTGGTCGGTTATAACCAGACCTGGTCATCAAGACCAACAATGGTGGTTCAGCTATAACACAGCCCTGTGCATCAAGACCACAACTGGTGGGGTCGGTTAAAACCCAGACAGCTGGTCCAATCAAGACCACAACTGGTGGGACAGCTATAAACTCCAGGACCGGGTCATCAAGACCACACTGATGGGTCGTATAAACAGCAGACCTGTTCATGCAAGACCACACTGTTGGTCAGCGTATAACACAGACCCGGTCATTCAAGACCACACTGAGGTCAGCTATAACTACAGACCTGGTCATCAAGACCACACGGTTGGGTCGGTTATAACACAACCTGGTCATCAAGACCACACAGATGGGTCAGCTTAACACAGACCTGGTCATCAAGACCACACGAGGTGGGGTCAGGGGGTTAAAACACAGACCATGGTCATCAAGACCACACTGGTGGGTCCACATATAACACAGACTGGTCAACAGACCACACTGGTGGGACGGTTATAC